AGAACTAACCCTTCAAACAGACATGTCAGAATCTTGTTAACAAAGTTTTCTTCAAATATTTACTCAACTCAGTCATAATTTTTCTTATTTTAAGTATATTTTGCTCAAGAAAAGTTCACCTTCATCTTCAACATTTAACATTCAGCAGGAGAACTTTGACTCCATCGTCCCGTCTCTCCCGTCACATCACTCTCATGTAAACTTTTCAGTCAGATCCACGTCTCGCCGTACACGAACCACTCGTGTGCGTCGGACCCGTGACCGCCGGCGGGAACCGTTGCTGCAGCATATTTGTTTCCTCTTCAAACACAAGTTGACACTTTGGGTAATTACGGGCTTCTGGATGTCACAGCGCGTAACGATCGTCCCACTGCCCTCCAAAAATAAGTCCGTTCTGCTGCAGCTCCAGAACATCCGGTTGGCTCAGCTTGGTGAGAGCGTGACACCGCTAATGCTGAGGTCGCCGTGTCAGCCCTGTTCGGGACGGCCATTGTTTTTCCCACACTCTCTGAGCAACGTCTCCTTGACATCAATTAGGCTGCTTTTTTTTTTTTCTTGCCCTCTATTCCTGCTGCACTCATCCTCCTTTTTACAAGCATCAGGCTCGTTGCTGTGCTCATGGGTGTGATCTGTCTGGACGGAGCACAGAGCTGGAAGATGCTCTTACAGTGATCATGCAGCAGATACGGTGTTTTATCATGTTGTAGAAATGCTGCAGAGTTCCTCATCACAAGCATTTTAAAGTGTAAAAAGCTGCATTACATCTCATTTATATTTATATGAACAATTCTGCAGATTCAGTGTCTGTTCATGAGTGACTTCCACAGGGTGAAGGAGGGCTAATAGGATTTATCATAGGACCCCAATACAGCTACAAGCAGCCCTGTTTCTAGCACAGACCCTGTTTTATTCTGCAGTGCAGACCAGCTGTGAGGTCTGTCAGGCTGCCTCAGAGGAATAAGAAGGTGTGTTCAGTCAGAAAGCAGCTCCTATTCTTCCCACGTTAATGGCTCAGATTTCACCGCTTTATCAGGAGAGCAAACAAAGCATCAGGCCGGGACACGACCAGAGCATCTCCAACTAAACGAGACCCTCAGACTCATCCAAGCAGCTCACAAGCAGGCGTCTCTGTCTGAGCACAGGACTCAAGCTAAACTCGTTAAGGTTTTCCCTTCATGTATGAACAATTAGTCAAAGCAACGGCATCCTGGGACGGTGTTTGAGTTTATTTCAACTTATAGAGGCGAACACAGGAATAGCTCCTAACTTGAGCTGGGTGCTGCTAATGACAATAACAAGCTACTGTTGTGTTCAAGAAGAACGCTCTGCATGCATGTGTTTGATAAGATGAGACAAGATAAGATAAACCGTGATTAGTCCCACAGCGGGGAGAGTCGGTACAACAGCAAAGTGAATGGTGCAAACATTTAAGTCTGACGAGTTCTGACTGTCCAAGTTCCTCTAGATGGAAATAACAGGACTGCACAGATTCTGTCATGCGTATAAATACTGATAGAGACGTATTAATACTGCACAGATTATTGTCTATATTGCACAGATTTGTCCATAAGTGGAGAAATAAAGACACACAGTGTGCTGCAGTATTATTAAGACAACAGTTGATTCTAAAAAACTTTTAGGAGATCAAACTCGGCATTGAGAGTCGAGGCTATTCAGTGTTACTGGTGCCAACTCAAATATCTGGTATGTGACTTCTCCAGTTAAAATCTAAAGCACAAAAATCTACAAAACAAAAAAAAGAAAGACAAAAACCTCGACTGCTCCAGAGATATTATTCTGCAAATTCTTCATTAGCTCCCATTCTCACCAAACAAACCTTTCTGATGTGCTGAACCAACAACACACCAGTTTCCCTTCAAACAGATGAATTCAGCATCCTTGTAAATACGCGTTTAGCCACGTTATCGGCCGTGCTATTGCCCGCTTTGTAGCACAACCAGGGAAGAAAAATATTCATGAGGTTTTCCCGGCGTTATTCTTCTTCGTCTCTGACACCTTATCACCTGTATGTATCAGCATGCTTGGAAAAAACAGGGGGGAAGGGCCACTAAATCTCCAGAGACAGGCCTTATCTCACTCCAGGGCCAATCATTCCCCAGAGACATCGCAGAGACAGATCTATTGCCCAATCAGGACACCCCCACTGCACTAATAACGCCGCCCCCCACATGTCCTGGTAATCAAATACCGGCTAGCAATGGGCCATGGGATGGGGTGTGTGTGTGTGTGCGAGGCTGCCTGTGTGCATATAGAGTGTACGTGTGTGTGATTGCGTGTAATCGATACCGAGTCTCTGGCGTGGGAGTCGAGGAAGCGCCGGATATCAGACATGGGTTCAGAGGTCATCGCTTTCTGCAGCTTCACTACAACATGTCCGTCTGCTGAGGGTTTTTCTTTCTCTTAATTTATCCACTTTCTGCTCTGGTGTTTCCCCGTAATTATTCTTTGCTTTAGCACCACCTTGCCGTCCTACGCGCTGTGTTATGAGCATCATCACAGCTTTGTGCATCCACAGCTGCACAGAATAACAGAACCGGTTCATTCTAAATAGTCCGAATTTACAATGAAAGCAAGAAGAGAGGGAGAAGATGCCAGCCTTCCAGAAGCACTCACGTGACGCTGGTCAGGTGGCGTGGTGAATTTCACATGTGTGTTTTGATTTATTATTAGCTATGTGAGGAAGAAAGCGTGCGCTGGAGCTGAAATTCACTTTGACAATTCTCAGGGGATGCTCTAATCTGCTGCAGCCAACCCTCTCGCCGTCCTTCACCTGGAGATTTCCGTTGATAAGACAGGCAGAAATGTACATTTTGCCGAGTGGAGCTTTAATATAGAATCCACAGAGGGCTGCAGCGCTGCCCCGCGATGCATAATGTGACAGAGACTGTGACAAGTCTAATCATTTCTGCGTCTGTGCAGAGGTCTGCTGTAGTCCGAGTGACGTAAAATCCAGAGTCTGCCAGAGTTTGCGTGGACGTCCGCAGAGAGGTCAACCAAAATTTCTACCGAGCATTTCTACAGTGGATCCTCCAAGCAGACCAGAAAGTAGCATAACAACAGCAACTGTGCCTCCGTGGTGTCTGCAGCCGTCTGTGTGCATCCACAAGGCAGCAGAATCAATGCTCAGATCATGCAGAGGGCAAAATAGTTCACTGTGCAAAGAAGAATCACGATTATTTTATCTGTTTCCAAACCAAAATGAAGCAATCGAACCCCAATGATGATAAAAACTGGAGCTAGCTCGTGTTAAAGATGCTCCAGAAAGTCTCGTTAGCCCTTGTTAAACTAAAATAAAACTAAAACAACTAAAGCCGACGCGTTTTTGTCTAAACAAAGGCGGCTGTGACGTATTAATCATAGAAGCAGGTCATGGTGACCACATCTGTGATGAAGGAATTAACGGCGATGACACTAACGATCGTAATAAATGTGTTTCTGATGCTAAAAAGCCAGACCTGAGATCAGAATACATTTGGCTGCTGCTGCTGATGTCACGGGCCAACATCACTCCGCTGCATCACTGCCAGAGACAAATGATGTCACGGTGACCTCAGCCTGCTGTGCTTGTTAAAAAAAGAAGAAGACACCTTTACCTGCACACACACTAAATAAGGACTTTAGCTACAGGAAGCAGTGAGATCTTTCAGGAGGTGTTTTTCTGTGCACACTGTACAAAGCAGCTACATCCAGAATTGCATATGAATGCAAAAAAAATGGCCCGATGGGTGTTTGCCAAGAGCTGTCTTGCATTCGGCGGATCCTGCTGACAGCCAAAGGAAGGCTCACCTGATGCCCAGCCACCTGCCATCTGTCTGCTGAATAAAACCATTTGCCTGCGATATGACAGGGACAAGCAGGAGTACACCTGTACAATGTGAACACCCACAGCAACACCCTGAACGCTTCCTGGTACAAATAACTGGTAGCAGTGTGCTGGGAGGGGGGGTACAGTGCTGCTCAACCAGGGAGGATGCAGACGCTCCACCAGCCGTCCGCCTGCTTCAGTTCATGTGCACGGGATTCAACGTGAGCAGCACTTTTTTTTTGGACACTACATAGCAACAGCATCCAACCTGCTACACTGAGGCACTGCAGGGCTGGAAAATTAGCAAATAATCACATTTTGCTGTCAGTCGTGCAAGATTTTGGTCCCATTACTTTACATGGAAACTGCAGCTCATAGTAAAACACAATCATTTACAATAAAACAGCTGCTTGATGAGAGGATGGAATCAGGGAGTTATCATCACATGTAAAGGGTTAAATAATAAAAAAAAGAGCCCTGCCTGAATATCAGACATGTTTGAGCTTCATATGGACCAGATTCAGGTCTGACTGGAGCTCAGGCCAAAGGCTGCACACATGCTCGGCTTCCATCAGGAGGCTGATGCACGGAATCCATCTCAAGGTTACCCCTCCGCCGCTCATCAGGGCTCCTAATAAACACGGGATTTCACTCATTTGGCGATCTGAAAGGCATCAACTGCGCCCTGCGTGCCTCGAGAGGAGGAGGAGGGGGAGCTGTGGAAATGGCCAGCCAGCCTGTGTGATGTTGGGGGGCGGGGAGGTGGGCCAAATATTTTTTAAGCTGGACTGGAAACACGTTTTTTGTTTTTCTGCTCGGCAACCCAGCGACACATAAACACGAATCCTAGTTTGAGGCACCGCACAGCTTTAGTAAAAACCCGACGTGTAGGTGCGTAAAAGCAGAACCGCGCCACAGGGAGGTCACTGTTGCTGCTGGAGACAGGTGTCTAAACACCCACATCGACTCTCTGCCAACATTAAATGTGGCGTTTTCCACACAATCCGCAGAAACAAAGCTCGGTTCGGCGGTACCAAACAGGACTCCGGCGCCGCGACTTGATTCCGGTCCCAACTTGCCTCAGCAACAGACAATAGCTTCACAGTTCCTCTGATTTCCTCCACAAAGGATCGCCAGCAAACACACACACACACACACATACACACACACTTACCGCGATGGGATGAAGCAATAATCCAGAGAAAAGGCGACTCCATGTACGAAGAATGAGGAGGAGAGGGAGAAGAAAGGAGCCGGAGAGCTGCACCCCCACTACTACTCGTACTACTACTCCATGGGCTCAGCGCAACGCAGCGCGCTGGTTTGTGATGTGGATCACGCAGCGTGTGAGCCCATGAGGATGGATGCTGTGCCGCCTTGTCGGGGGGCGGGGGCAAGACGCGTACTCGACTCCAATGGAGCGTGTTTAATTCTATGTAGGGACCTTGTGTTAGGAGCGAGCAGGGCTGTCTGGGCTGCACATCCTCAGACAGACTGCCCCGCACACCTCCAGCGTCATTAGAAACACTCCGGGGTTTTTAGTTTCTGTTCCTGAAAGGCTGCATGTGTGTCTGTTCAGTGTTTGACAGGTGGATGTTTGTGGCTCCTGATTGGTTTGTGATGATCAATACTGACAGGTTTACCACTGTTAGCACTAATAATAAGTCTAATAATATGATTTTTGCCTTATTATTATATAAAAACCCATCTGATCTTGTATATTTATTCATACTGATGTATGTATTTATCCAAACTTTAGTTCTAAATCAGTCCAGTAAAAAAGTGCAGGATCTCAGCTTTAATATTTATCTATAAGATAAACTTTATTGATCATGCACAGGGAAAATTAACATGTCACAGCAGCTGGATACAGATAAGATGTGAAAGAAGCAGGACAGAAATAACAAAAATACAAAAAATAAACAAAGATGTAATAATAAATGTCTCATAGAAACAATAAACCAGACTATGAATCTACAGAGATACTACACACAGGTAAAGGTGTATTTTATATAATTTTTGTGGGGATTTAATCTTTAATTTTCAAATTACCAGTAAATTCTCACCATAAACATTTAATCTTAATCTTAACTCATAGCATCCAGTTTATTTTTCTCCAGAGCAGCACTTTGGTGCAGCAGCTGTGGCTTTAAATGTATAATAAATAAATAACAGTGTTTTCTGTCTTTTATTTGACTACGACCAGCATTAATGCATTAAACAGTACGGTGAACCTCATATTCAAACAAATACAACATGTTGAATGGAAAATCTGAATTCAGATTTTTCTTATTTGTTAGAAATGTTTGTCATCAGGTTCTATTAAATAAATAGGCAGAGATGTAGAGATCTGACGATAATAAAAGTTCTACACATGAGGTCCACAGATACAGTCATTTTAAATTGTCTGGGGAAAAAATGAAGCCAATGAAAAAGTAATCTGACTTACCAAATGGTAACTGCAGGTATAAGCTGCCACTGGCTGCACATTTCAATCAGCTTTCTCCTCCTCTTCCTCTGTCTGTGTGTTACTGCTTTTCTTGTCCCTTCACTAAAATACAACCACTTCCAGGCCAGTAACCTCCACCGAGCAGATCTGAATCATGCAGCGAGTTTCTTCAGTGAATTAGTCACACAGTCGGGGACACCACTGCTGCATCCTTGGCTTGGCTCCGCCCAAAACAGCTGTGATTGGTTTAAAGAGATACAAACAAGCCAGAATGATGATAAGGTGCAGCTAAGTTATTCTGGTCTGACCATGCCTGACTGCCAAAAGCTGTAGTTCCTCAAATGGCCACTTGAGGCTGACTCTAAAGGTGAGTCAGTCCTCTGTAGACCTTCATGTTAATGTGTCGACTTTACAGCAGAAATAAACACCTTCAAGGTAGAAAAACACGCTTTTGGTCTCTGTAGCTAATTTCCTCATTCATGACAACTGTGCAGAGGCTACATCTGTATATAACTCATCCATTTGATTTTATTCAGGCTTAAATTATACATAGTTCAGGTGGAGCAGGTGAAGCTTCGCCGTAGAACAGTTCATAGCTCAGACAGGTTTGCATGTCTCCTGCTGCACCTCTTTGCTCATTTTGGATTAATTTAGAGCGATTAGGATTCAGACACTGCCAAGACGTCCATGGCTGCAGCCACAACACTGAGCTTTAAAAGTGTTGTTCATCTTTATCCTTACACAACAAACTAAATCATGTTTTGTGCTCATTTGAAGGGCGACTTCCAAGATTTCTATCACCTTCAAAGGGGAAGAATTGTACATCCATGTGGATTATATCTCCTTCCCTCCATGCCGCCTGTTCGTCTGTCTGCAGTGCTCTTCCAGAAGCTACAGACAGACGAGCCTCCTTGTTGTTCTCAGCCCTCCCTCTGCAGAAGCCGGGGTCAGGCCTGTCCAATAGCAGCAGCCTGGGGAGCAGCCTTGGAACGAACTGATTGCAAAGCATTCTGGTTGTTGACAGCGATAGAGACTCACAGCCCGTTTTCTCTGATTTCTCTGGTCACTGAACACCAGCTTCAAATGCACTCCTATATTACACAGACAGACACCTACTTCTAGTGCAGACCTCACTTTGCTGTAGTGGAACCCACTGAAGCCCATTATGTAAGAAGGCCTTGATGTTTTTCTGGCAGTTTTTTAGTTTAGAACAATGAGAAAAGCAAATGATAGTTAAATAAAGGCAACAGCCTGACATTAGCTATTTGCTAGCTGTAATATTTACATAGATTTGTCCAACTAACATGGCCATAACAGCTGAGACTTCTTCTTAAACCTGATGAGGAACAGCCTGCAGGTCCTCCAGTGGCCACTAGGTATTGGCTCAGCCGACTCAGTCTGCATCATGATATAATCCCTGCTTTTATTATACACAATACAGATAGATTGTCTTGAATTTCGAGCGTTGCACAACCACACAAGGAGTTAAGGTTCACTTGTGGTGTCTTTTTTTTCCATGAAGTTGTTTTTCTGCGTTCTTGCATAATCAATCCTTTCTCAGGGGAAACGCTGAACTCCCACCTCCACAGCCTGGTTACTTGTAGCGTTGTTGCTGTGAATGCACTGCTGCCATAAGTGGGACAGACACATTGGAGTGAATCACAGAGCCCATCTCTGCTACAAGAAATTACCAAAGAAACACTGGTGTGTTCAGTGATCTAGATTCAGCGAGCACGCTACATTACACTCCACGCTCAGACGCCCCCTCATCCCATCCTCTGCGCTTTTTGAGCCCGGTTCTGTCCTTCCTTCCTCCCCTCGTCTCTCGTCTGTGGCCTTCAGTCACGTTAATCAAGCTGAGCAGAAAAACTGATATTACTGTAAAATCCAGCCAGTCAGCACGTGTTCTAATTAATAACGAGGGGGTTGGAAATGTGATGGATGAATTTTGAGGGAGTTTTGGGACTGAATGGGGGCAGCGGTAGCCTCCAGGCAGACAGTCGGGCTTGTGGCCGTATGGTTTCTGGGTTTAAATTCCCCAAATTATCTAAAGGAGAACTGGCTGTGGATGGAGAGGAGACGCAAATACATGTCTGATAAACTGCCGGGGTGCTACTGAGCAAGACACTCGTGGCTAAAGAGATCCGTCTACTCATCGATCACAGAAGACTGTGGGTGTACTGGACGGTGTTGAAGTGTGCGACTGTGCAGAATGGATGTTATGCAAGAACAATCATTGTCCTCCTCGGAGGTCTTCTCAGGTTCACAATTTTGAACGTGTGAAAAAACACCCCGACGCCTGATGTGCATAATTTAAGTTCCAAAACAGAGAACCGTCCCTCTGAGGAGAGTCTGTAATAAAGACAGGACCAGAGCAGAACCAGATCTGTTTCAGATGTCAACCCAAACAGACTCGA